CCCCCCTCGTCCACTCGTCGCCCGCCGCCCCCTCGCCGACGCTCTCGTCGTCCGACCGCTCGGCAACAGGCCGACGATCGTCGCTGTCCGACTCGGCCATGGGGTGCTGCGCCCTCAGCTGGCTTGGAATGCTGAAGCCTAAATTGGCCACGGTTGTTTGTTGTTCGTGTTGTTTGTCTTGTTGCTGTTATTGTTTGTCTCGTTGATGTTGCTCTTCTTGTTTGTCTTGTTGCTGTTTATTGTTTGCGCAGCTGTTGCTTGTTCTCTCGTTGTTTGTATGGTTGCTGTTGTGCCCTGCCGTTGCTGCTGTTTTTGCTGGTCCGCTGTTTGCGGTTGTGTTCTTGCGCGCGCGTGGGGGCGTGGGTGTGCGCGAGCGTGCGCGAGCGCGCGAGCGTACGAGTACGCGAGTGCGCATGTGCGCGCGCGCTCGCGCGCGCGCCGGCGCGGCTGCACGCGCGTCTGCGCGCGCGCGTGACCGCCAGGCGTCGAGGCCCAACCCTCGACCCTCGGCTCGAGGACCCGAGATCCTGGAGCCCAAGCTTGGCGATCCTCGGATCTAGGACCCGAAGTGCTCGCAGATGCTGAAGACCAAGATCTCGGATCCTCGATCCGAGGACGGAGGATCGAGCCTGCTCGGTGGCAGTGCGGGCCCGAGGACGACCAGAGGAGCGATCGACTATCGCCGAGGCTCGGCCCTCGAGCCTCGGATGTCGCACCCGACATCTTCCAGTCCAAGCTTGACGACCCTCTGATAAAGGATCCGAGGTGCTCGCAGACGCTCAAGACCAAGATCTCGGATCCTCGATCCGAAGGTAGAGGGTCGAGCCTGCCCGGCACTAGCGCGGGCCCGAGAACGGCGAGAGGGGCGATCTACCATCGCCGAGGCTCGGTCCTCGAGCCTCGGATGTCGAACCCGAGTCCTTCCAGTCCAAGCTTGACGACCCTCGGGTCTAGGATCCGAGATGCTCGCAGATGCTCGAGACCAATATCTCGGATCCTCGATCCGAGGATGGAGGATCGAGTCTGCTCGGCGGCAGCGCGAGTTCGAGGACGGCGACGAGGCGATCTACTATCGCCCACGCTCGGCCCTCGAGCCTCGGATGTCGAACCCGAGTTCTTCCAGTCCAAGTTCGGCGACCCATGGATCTAGGATCCGAGGTGCTCGCAGATGCTCAAGACCAAGATCTCGGACCCTCGATCCGAGGGTGAAGGATCGAGCATGCTCGATGGCAGCGCGACGATCGAGGATCGCCGAGGCTCGATCCTCGACCCTCGGATCGCGAACCCGAGATCTTCGAGCCCAAGCTCGGCGACCCTCGGGTCTAGGACCCAAGGTGCCCAACGATGCCCGGACTCAGAATCTCGGACAATCGATCCGAGGATGGAGGATCGAGCCTGCTTGATTCCTCGATGCTCGGTCGAGGATCACTCGGCGAGAGGGGGGGTAGCACCCCGCAGCTTGGAACGCCACTCGCGCGCGCTCGAGGGCTCGCCCTCTTGGAGCTTGAAAAGCAGATGGGGCTCGAGCGCGCGCCTCGAAACGGCGCCCTCGCAGCGAACAACGCGGGGCGCTTGGCTCGGGGAGCTCGCGCGCCAGGCTCTCGGGCGCCCACGAGCAGGAACGAGGCGGGCTCTGACTCGGCCTTCGCGTCGGCCTGGCTCCTCTCGTCATCGCGCCTGTTCATGAAGAGCTTGTCGTACTCGGCCTGGATCAGGGCAAACTTGTCGACGCGCAGCTTGATGGGGCTCTCGAGGAGCATTGTCTCGTGCCCCTGCTGCTTGACGGTTTTCGAGTAGCCCCGCTCGGCGCGCTCGCGCGGGCAGTTCAGCCCCTGCAGCTCGTAGCTCATGTCGGCAGTCTTCTTGACGCACCAGCGCCACTTGACAATCGCTTGAGTGGTGGCCTTGGCGACCTCGTCGGTCTCGATCGGGACCATGGAGGTCCCGTTGCACCATTTAACGTGCTATCGGGCCTTGCTCGGAATCAAGGCGTAGAGCTGCTCGGCATTGCCGGCGGGCCCCTCGCCCCAGTGCTCGACGGGCTCGACCTTCTCGTTGGGCGGCGGGACTAGCTCGTGGAGGCGGAGAAGCTCGGCGGGGATGCCTGGGAGGGCATAGCCGACGCGCTAGGTGTAGGAGCCGCGGGTGGGCTTCTTGACGTTCTCGGCGCCGAGCTCCATGTCTCTCCTCTCGGCGAGCTCCTGCACCCTGGCCCCGAAGCTCGGCATGAGCCAAAAGAGGCCCTCGGGCGGCTCTCCGCGGTTCTCGGAGATGTGGCACACGCGCTCGCCCTTCTCGCAGTATGCCTTGTAGAACACCGCCACGGCCAGCTCGACGCGCCCCCTGTCCTTCTCGCTGAAAATGCGGCCGCACTCGATGCTCTCGTAGGACCCGCCTTGGCACGCCGCGTCGAGCACGGCACGCTGGGCGTTGCTTGGCCACCAGGCGCTCTCGGCCATGAAATCGCTGCTCGTCATCCTCGCTGCATCCGTGCCTCGCGCGCTCGACTGGCACTGGCGCATCTCGGCGATCGCGCACATGTCCACGATGAAGGCCAGCTCGTCGAGGATCTTCTCGTTTTGCTTGGCCATGCGCCCGAGAATTTCGTTCGAACTCGGGCTCGGGGTCACGACGTTCCTGGGGGTATCGACGGGAACCTTCGACGCCGCGGCGCGCTCGGCGGGCTGGGACATCGCTGGGGCTCGCGACGCACCCAGGGGCAACGATGTGGGGGATAGGCATGGGGGGACATCGACCTGGAATCGGCGATACATCGCAGATGCATCGGCGACGCGCGCCCGATCGTGAATCCGCACGCTCCTGGGCAGGCTTGGCATGCCTATCCCGTCCTATCGCTGCCCCTGGGGCGAAGAGGCTCGGCGCCTCGAAGAGGCACGAAAGCTTGGAGTCTCGGAGACTCGGGGGAGCTGGGGCCTGGACAGCTGCGGGGGCAGAGGAGGGAAAGGAGGAAGAAGAGGAAAGGCCACGAACCGTGTGAGGGGTGCGCTTGAAAAATAATTCACTGAACTCCAATGCTCTGCCTGCTCGAAAGACGCGCGCACAATCAAAATCCAATCGGTCCCTATGGCCCTGCCACACGTTCCCGGGTCGGGGACGGTTACAAAAATGAGAAGCCCATGACCCTGCCACACGTTCGTAACATGGGGCAAACTGAACTGGCGAGAACCCCACAGCCCTGCCACACGCTCGTGATTGCGGAAGCTGGTGTGGTGAGACCACCATGGCCATGCTCAGCGTTGATGCTACTCAACATGATACGATTGCAACTTCGATTCGCAACTTACTTTCCCCGTGGATTATCAAGTTCGGCCTCCGCGCCCCTCTCAACAATTAAATCCTGTTGGGCGGGGATAAAACAGGAGGGGTTGATGGGGGGGCACTGCAGTATCGCCCGTCGCCCGTTACCAGGTTGGCCGCGCGTGCGCCCCCAAAGGGCGCCAGGTCCAGGCAGAGTGAGAGGCGACAGCCCACGGCACGACGGAGACGGGACGACGCACGACGACGATGGGCCAAAGGAGGACGAGGAGGCGGAGCAGGAGTGACAGCGGCAGAAGCTTTGTTGACGGCAGAGGTGCTGGCCTGTTCCATCAGCACTCGCCCTGGCCCTGGCGCGAAGCAGCGCCGAAACACGCTGCGGCCGCATCCTCCCTGCTGCACTGAGGACATGGCAAGCAAGGCAATGGGGAATGACAATCCGTTGATCAAATCGGACTAACACTGCTTGATCACTGGCAATTTCTCGTTCTCGAACGCGCGCAACGGAGAGCCCGTGTAGAGCGCCCAGTCGCCCCACGCAGAACCGGCCAAGCCGTCTTGAAAGAACATGCCGATGATCGCCATCATCGCCAGGCGACCGTTGGCGATCTCAGCCGCCAACTTCTTCTGCTTCTCCACAGGGTCGCTAGCGGTGAGCACCTTCCAACCGAAATCGCCCGCCGCCGCAGGCGTGCCCGGGGATTGGTTCTGGGACAGCTCGCAGAACGCGGCGTAGGCTACGATCTGCACCCAGCCCGCTGCGGGAACCTTGGAGATCGCACCGAGCCCGTTCGGGATGTCCGCGAACTTCAGCTCCGAGGATGGAGACAAATACCCAGGGAACTTGCCGCTGACCTCGGGAGTGATGTAGCCCATGGTGGCCAGCATGGACACACGACCGTGCTTGAGCTCCGTCTGCCGGCGGCGCGCGAAATTCTCAGAGTTCCCATCAAATGTGAACAACAACAACAACAACCTTGGTGAGGGTGGTGCCTGGCAAACGAGGGCCCGCATGACACCGGCCTGGCCGTCATCATTCAGTTCAAAGCAGACGCAGGGGGAGGGGGAGGGGAGGGAGGGGAGGGGGGGGGAGGAGGAGGGGCAGCAGCTGGCCGCCGCAGGCGCTGGCGCGGCGCGGGGCCACCAGACTGAGCCGACGCCGGGGGCCGGGCAGGCCAGCCCTGGCATCGGACCTTCCATAGGGCAGCCAGCCTGTCAGTGCAGCGTTGCGCGCACAGGTAGCACTCCCATCAAATGTGAAGCCGGCTGGATCCCAGAAACCCATCGGGTCCTGCACGCCCAGCTCGCTCTCGAACGCGCGCAGCGGGGATCCAGTGTAGAGCGCCCAGTCGCCCCAGGCAGAGCCGGTCAGGCCGTCCTGGAAGAACATGCCGATGATCGCCATCATGGCCAGACGACCGCTGGCGATCTCAGCTGCCAATTTCTTCTGCTTCTCCCCAGCATCGCTGGACGTCAGCACCTTGAACCCGAAGTCACCCGCCGCGGCAGCGGTGCCAGCGGACTGGTCCTGGGACAGCTCGCAGAACGCGCCGTACGCCACGATCTGCGCCCAGCCCGCCGCGGGAACCTTGGAGATCGCACCGAGCCCGTTCGGGATGTCCGCGAACTTCAGGCCCGCGGACGGCGACAAGTACCCTGGCAGCTTGCTGGTAATTCTGGGGTGATGTAGCCCATCGTCGCCAGCATACTCACACGGCCGTGCTTCAGCTCGGTCTGGCGCCGGCGGGCGAAGTTAGCCGTGCTACCATCCGCCGCGAACCCAGCAGGGTCCCAGAAGCCAACTGGGCCCTGCACGCCCAGCTCACTCTCGAACGCGCGCAGCGGGGATCCAGTGTAGAGCGCCCAGTCGCCCCAGGCAGAGCCGGTCAGGCCGTCCTGGAAGAACATGCCGATAATCGCCATCATGGCCAGACGACCGTCGGCGATCTCAGCTGCCAACTTCTTCTGCTTCTCCCCGGCGTCGCTGGACGTCAGCACCTTGAACCCGAAGTCACCCGCCGCGGCAGCGGTGCCAGCGGACTGGTCCTGAGACAGCTCGCAGAACGCGCCGTACGCCACGATCTGCGCCCAGCCCGCCGCGGGAGCCTTGGAGATCGCACCGAGCCCGTTCGGGATGTCCTCGAACTTCAGGCCCGCGGACGGCGACAAGTACCCTGGCAGCTTGCCGGTAATCTCTGGGGTGATGTAGCCCATCGTCGCCAGCATACTCACACGGCCGTGCTTCAGCTAGGTCTGGCGCCGGCGGGCGAAGTTAGCCGTGCTACCATCCGCCGTGAACCCAGCAGGGTCCCAGAAGCCAACCGGGCCCTGCACGCCCAGCTCACTCTCGAACGCGCGCAGCGGGGATCCAGTGTAGAGCGCCCAGTCGCCCCAGGCAGAGCCAGTCAGGCCGTCCTGGAAGAACATGCCGATGATCGCCATCATGGCCAGACGACCGTTGGCGATCTCAGCTGCCAATTTCTCCTGCTTCTCCCCAGCATCGCTGGACGTCAGCACCTTGAACCCGAAGTCACCCGCCGCGGCAGCGGTGCCAGCGGACTGGTCCTGGGACAGCTCGCAGAACGCGCCGTACGCCACGATCTGCGCCCAGCCCGCCGCGGGAACCTTGGAGATCGCACCGAGCCCGTTCGGAATGTCCGCGAACTTCAGGCCCGCGGACGGCGACAAGTACCCTGGCAGCTTGCCGGTAATCTCTGGGGTGATGTAGCCCATCGTCGCCAGCATACTCACACGGCCGTGCTTCAGCTCGGTCTGGCGCCGGCGGGCGAAGTTAGCCGTGCTACCATCCGCCGCGAACCAGCAGGGTCCCAGAAGCCAACCGGGCCCTGCACGACCAGCTCACTCTCGAACGCGCGCAGCGGGGATCCAGTGTAGAGCGCCCAGTCGCCCCAGGCAAGCCGGTCAGGCCGTCCTGGAAGACACTCCGATGATCGCCATCATGGCCAGACGACCGTCGGCGATCTCAGCTGCCAACTTCTTCTGCTTCTCCCCGGCGTCGCTGGACGTCAGCACCTTGAACCCGAAGTCACCCGCCGCGGCAGCGGTGCCAGCGGACTGGCCCTGAGACAGCTCGCAGAACGCGCCGTACGCCACGATCTGCGCCCAGCCCGCCGCGGGAACCTTGGAGATCGCACCGAGCCCGTTCGGGATGTCCGCGAACTTCAGGCCCGCGGACGGCGACAAGTACCCTGGCAGCTTGCCAGTAATCTCTGGGGTGATGTAGCCCATCGTCGCCAGCATACTCACGCGGCCGTGCTTCAGCTCGGTCTGGCGCCGGCGGGCGAAATTAGCCGTGCTACCATCCGCCGTGAACCCAGCAGGGTCCCAGAAGTTGGGACTTGCCAGAGCAGCCCGGCACGCAGCCGTGCAGCTCTGGGCCGCCGCCCTCATCCATCTCCGCTCCTGGGGATGGCGAATCCTCTCCCCCTCCTCCCCGCCGGCTGCAATGCTGGTGCTGCTGCCCTTCCTCCTCCTCTTCCTCCTCGCCCTCCTCTGCCTCCCCGGCGTCCGCCGCCTCCTCTGGTTCCTCCTCTGCTGTCTCCTCCTCCTCCGTCTCCCTTGCCTCCCCGTCCTCCGCCACCTCGTCCCCTCGTGCCTGCCCCAGCCTGTGCTGATGGGGCAGCCTGCTGCTGCGGCTGCGCCGCCGGCGCTGCAGCATCGCCCGCCGCGGTCCCGCCACCCTTGGCACGCCCTCCTCCTCGACCTCCTTCTCCTCCTCTGACTCCGCCTCTTCCTCCTCTGCCTCCTCCTGGTGGTGGCTGCACTGACTCCGCCTCTTCCTCCTCCGCCTCCTCCTCTTCCTGCTCGTCCTGTTGGCCTCGGGCTGCGCCCTCCGCCCCTGCCCCCTCGCCCCCCCCTGCCGCTGCGGCCGGGTGCCGCTGCGTCGGAAGCTGCGGCTGTGCTGGCTGCCGCCTGCGGCGGCGCTGCCGGCGGCGGGGGACCGGCTGCCGGGGGCGCCGATCCCGCGGCACTTCCATTACCTCCGCCAGAGGAGGATGCCGCTACTGCTGCCGGTGCTGGGGCCTCTCCCGGCGCTCTGCACACCGTGACGCGCGGCAGGTTGTTCACCCTGTCCTTCCATCGCCACATGCGCTGGCATTTAAGGCATCTAATGATGCCCTCGTCTTCACTACCGATGTCCTTGCCAGTCTTTCTGTTCCACTGGAGCTCGTGTTGGCCGCGGTTGCATTTGCTATTGAGCTCGGCCTCCAGCTTGTCCAGCCTGGACGCCGAGTTGTTGTAGCCTTCCTGCGTCAGCCACCGGTCTGGCGGCAGGGCCGCCTGCTCGCACGGCTTGCCCGTGATCTTGAGGCGCACGTGCTGCAATCTCTCCACAAACTTGCCGCACTTCCGGCACCACACGCCGGGCTTGCCGGCGGGTCGCTGGGCCAGCGCGTGACCATTCTCGTGGGCAGGCGCCGCATTCGCGCCGAGCTCCACGCCGCGCAACTTCCCCCCCTCGTGGTACCAGGCGATGTGCCTCGACCAGATGGTGACCAGCATGGCCTGGAGGGTGCGCGCCTGCTGCCGGGTCAGCACCGACTGTCGTGGGATCACGCCCGCGTAGCGCACGCAAATCGGCTGCTGGGCGACGTCGCGCGGCAGGCCCTGAAGCGCGGGCGCCCGGACTGAGGCGTAATCTCCGCACTCCCACGAGACATGGAGTACAGTCTTTTCGGCTCCGCAGAAGCACTTGCGGTCGCTGCCGCCCTTCCGGCGCCTCGCGTTCCTCTCTGCCGTCATGAGCCCACCGGCGAGGATTAGGCGAAGCACGCCAAGCTGCTTGCGTGCCGTCTCTGTCGCGGTGGAGACCGCGCTGCCGTCTCCCGCCGTCTCCGCCCCCCCCTCCTCCTCCTCCTCGGGGCCCCTCTCCTCGACCTCGTTGGCCAGCCTCTGGAGCTCGTCGTGGTATGCCATCGTGCGTTCTCTGTCGATGTGGCTTGCCCCTGCGTAGTGCTGCTCCCGGTCCCGTACTAGCCGCGTCGAGAGTGCGCTGCGCCAGGCATCTCTCAACGTATGTAGCCATTCCTCCTCCTCCGCCTCGCTCCTCACGTTCCCATCCATCAAGTGCTGAATCCCTGGCCCGAAAACTGGTGATCTGCTCAACACACGCAGCCTCGACACAGGTCCGTCGCGACGAACGGTAGGTACCTGCCCAAACCGCGCGCGCAAAACTGCTGCCACCTCTGGGTTCCGCATGGTGCGCATCACCGTACGTAGCCCCTCGTATACAGCACCAAATTCTGGGTCGAGATGTACAGGAGCCAGTAAGGCAAACGTCAATGCCGGACTCATGGAATAGCTGTCCGTTTTCCATAAAGCCTGCATAACCACCGTCCTGACTTTGCGGAGCGCCGAGACATCACTGACAAGGCAGTGTGTGCCCTGACAGAAAAATGCCTGTGCCTGGGTAGCCCGAAGCATTCGTGCACGATCTGCCCATGGCCGGGGTACCATGCGCACGCGCCCTGCTGTCAGCTTCCATTTCTCCATTCGCTGATTTTCCAGCTCCGTAACGGCAAGGGCACCTGGTCTTGCAACCAGCGATCCGCCTACAACGCGAAATTATGTAAGATGCTGCACTTCGTTACCCAGGACTCCCTGCGCACACACATCCCCGAAAGTAAAGCACTTTTTCATATTCAGTTCCCCACCTCCAGCGGCGCAATACGCACGAACCACACTGTGGAAACCACGTATCCCCTCTCGTACTCCCTCCGCCGTCGGTGCCACCGTCACAGAAGATATGTCGTCTGCATAGGACCTGTCTGTCGTAGTAGCCTTCTTATGTGCCCCTGACGCTTCCAGAATGCATGTTACAATACTGTTCAATGCAATCATACTGAGAGCATCTCCCTGCACAATACCGTTATGAGCTTGAAACCAATCACCAACAGAGCCTTTTAATTGGAATACTCTCCGTAAGCCACTGCACATGCCCCGTAACGGCCCCAGTATCCAGTGATGCATCCCTCGTCGATCCAGAAGTTGTAGTGCAATTTCCATAGGTATGAGGTCAAAAACCTTTTTTAAATCGTAACTGATGCCACCCACGTATGCTCCCGCACCGTACGCCACAGATTCCATATCCATAGCTATGCCCATACCCATGGCCTCTGCACTCCGGCCTGGCCGGCAGCCATACATAGTCGCCGGGGCCCACTTTTCCTGCCACGGGAGACAATCTTTGAACCTGGCTGCACTCCATATTCTGTAGATCCCACTCAACACACTGATTGGTCTCCAGTCTGTAGCCTCTGGCTCCGTGAGAGTCGGGTCCTTTGGTATCAAAGCAACGTAGGTTTTAAGCAATTCTCGTGGCCATACTCCTGTCTTCTCAACCCAATTCAAAATGTCTGTGAGGTCACGGAACAAGGAAGGGAACCACCTTCCCAGTGCACTGAGCTCCTCTGGTCGCCATGAATCCAGGCTGCACGCCGATGGTTTTGCCTCTGCTGCCACCCGCGCCATGTCCGTCCACTTCAAAGGAGAGAGCTCCATCGAAGAATATTTCAAGTACGGCGCAAAATGCCCCAAGAATCCCTCCACATCCTCCGGTGTGTTTTTGCATTTTTGTAATATTGGTAACCACGCCTGGAGCACTGCATCCAATTGTTCCGTCCTGTCTGCTGTAAATGCGCCGTCCTTCATCCTCATGGCATCCGGCCCGGTACTGCTCCCACCTTTAACCCATCGGTACGCCTCCCGCTCTGACGATTGCAAACGGCGCTTCCATGCACGTATCCTGGCCCTCTCCGCCTCCCGGACAACTCGTCGATGCTCCTCCACTATGACGTCCCGAACCTTCCCAACTGCATTCAGACTCAGCCCATGCATCGTAGCATCCTGCACTTTCCTGCAGAACTCTGCCTGCTCTGGCCGTGTCGTCGCAGACTGCTGGGTGGACGCCGGCGTGTCGCCCTGTATCCGGACAGGGTATTGGGTTGCAGCGTAATTCGAGCTGGCCGTGCAGTCCGAGATAATGTTGCGAAAGGTCCTGTCGGCTCTCGTGCCATAGCTCGCCATTCTCGATAGCTCGTCACACCGTTGGATGTTCCTGGCGAGCCTCCGTGCCTCCAGCGTAGCCGCAGAAGGGTCTCCCTTGCCCTCTGGAGGGAACACACACACACCTTCCTCATGCGTACCTTGCCCCTGCCGTGTCCCACTCCTCCTGCGTCACAGTCGTGATGCGGCCCTCCGTGTCCAGACTTCCTGGGTATAAGCCCCAGGCGTGCTTCAGCCCGCCTGCACCATCTCGCCAAGGCCGCGTCCACCTTCCCGTACCCAGCCGGGTCCCAGAAGCCCACTGGGCCCTGCACGCCCAGCTCACTCTCGAACGCGCGCAGCGGGGATCCAGTGTAGAGCGCCCAGTCGCCCCAGGCAGAGCCGGTCCAGGCCGCCCGACAACCTGCCGCGACGCCATCATGGCTCAGACGACCGTTGGCGAGCTCAGCTGCCAACTTTCTCTTCTGCTTCTCCCCGGCGTCGCTGGACGTCAGCACCTTGAACCCGAAGTCACCCGCCGCGGCAGCGGTGCCAGCGGACTGGTCCTGGGACAGCTCGCAGAACGCGCCGTACGCCACGATCTGCGCCCAGCCCGCCGCGGGAACCTTGGAGATCGCCCCGAGCCCGTTCGGGATATCCGCGAACTTCAGGCCAGCCGAAGGCGACAAGTAGCCGGGCAGCTTGCCAGTGATCTCGGGCGTGATGTAACCCATCGTCGCCAGCATGCTCACGCGGCCGTGCTTGAGCTCCGTCTGGCGCCTCCTGGCGAAATTCGCCGTGCTACCATATCCCGCCGTGAACCCGCAGGGTCCCAGAGCGACGGGGTCCTGCCCGCCCAGCTCGCTCTCGAACGCAGTCGCAGGCGGGGATCCAGTGTAGAGGGCCCAGTCCCCCCACGAGAGCCAGTCAGGCCGTCTGAAAACATGCCGATATCGCCGTCACGCCAGACGGACCGTTGGCGAGGGCAACTGCCACTTCTTCTGCTTCTTCTGCTTCTCCCGGGCGTCGCTGGACGTCAGCACTTGAAACCCAAAGTCACACTCCGCGCGCAGCGTGCAGCGGACTGGCCTGGGACAGCTCGCAGAACGCGCCGTACGCCACGATCTGCGCCCAGCCCGCCGCGGGAACCTTGGAGATTGCACCGAGCCCGTTCGGGATGTCCGCAAACTTCAGGCCCGCGGACGGCGACAGGTATCCTGGCAGCTTGCCGGTAATCTCTGGGGTGATGTAGCCCATCGTCGCCAGCATACTCACGCGGCCGTGCTTCAGCTCGGTCTGGCGCCGGCGGGCGAAATTAGCCGTGCTACCATCCGCCGTGAACCCAGCAGGGTCCCAGAAGCCGACCGGGTCCTGCACGCCCAGCTCGCTCTCGAACGCGCGCAGCGGGGATCCAGAGCCCAACCAAAGGGTGTATAGCGCCGAGTCGCCCCAGGCAGAGCCGTCATGCCGTCTGGAAGAACATGCCGATGATCGCCATCATGGCAGACGACCGTTGGCGATCTCAAGATGCCACCTTCTCTGCTTCTCCCGGCGTCGCTGACTTCCAGCACCTTTAACTCGCAAAGTCACCCGCCGCAGCAGCGGTGCCAGCGGACTGGTCCTGGGACAGCTCGCAGAACGCACCGTACGCCACGATCTGCGCCCAGCCCGCCGCGGGAACCTTGGAGATCGCACCGAGCCCGTTCGGGATGCCCGCGAACTTCAGGCCCGCGGACGGCGACAGGTACCCTGGCAGCTTGCCGGTGATCTCTGGGGTGATGTAGCCCATGGTCGCCAGCATGGACACGCGCCCGTGCTTCAGCTCCGTCTGGCGCCGGCGGGCGAAATTCTCCGTGCTACCGTCCGCCGTGAAGCCAGCGGGGTCCCAGAAGCCAACCGGGTCCTGCACGCCCAGCTCGCTCTCGAACGCGCGCAACGGAGACCCCGTGTAGAGCGCCCAGTCGCCCCAGGCGGAGCCGGTCAAGCCGTCCTGGAAAAACATTCCGATGATCGCCATCATGGCCAGACGGCCGTTGGCGATCTCAGCCGCCAACTTCTTCTGCTTCTCTGCGGCGTCGCTGGACGTCAGCACCTTGAAGCCGAAGTCACCCGCCGCAGCAGCGGTGCCAGCGGACTGGTCCTGGGACAGCTCGCAGAACGCACCGTACGCCACGATCTGCGCCCAGCCCGCCGCGGGAACCTTGGAGATCGCACCGAGCCCGTTCGGGATGTCCGCGAACTTCAGGCCCGCGGACGGCGACAGGTACCCTGGCAGCTTGCCGGTGATCTCTGGGGTGATGTAGCCCATGGTCGCCAGCATGGACACGCGCCCGTGCTTCAGCTCCGTCTGGCGCCGGCGGGCGAAGTTAGCCGTGCTAACAATCCGCCGGAAACCCCGCCGGGTCCCAAACCCACTGGTCCTGCACGTCCCAGCTCAACTCTCGAACGGGCGCGCAGCGGGGATCAGTGTAGAGCGCCCATCCGCCCCAGGCGAGAGCCGGTCATGCCGTCCTGGAAGAACATGCCGATGATTGCCCATCATGGGCCAGACGACGTTGGCGATCTCAGCTTCCAACTTCTTCTGCGTCTCCCCGGCGTCCCGCTGGAGCTGGCCACCTGAACCCGAAGTCACCGCCGCGGCAGCCTACATTCCAGGACTGGTCCTTCCCCCCCGTGGGGGGGACAGCTGCAGAACGCGCCGTACGCCACGTCTGCGCCCAGCCCGCCGCGGGAACCTTGGAGATCGCACCGAGCCCGTTCGGGATGTCCGCGAACTTCAGGCCCGCGGACGGCGACAGGTATCCTGGCAGCTTGCCGGTAATCTCTGGGGTGATGTAGCCCATCGTCGCCAGCATGCTCACGCGGCCGTGCTTCAGCTCGGTCTGGCGCCGGCGGGCGAAGTTAGCCGTGCTACCATCCGCCGTGAACCCAGCCGGGTCCCAGAAGCCGACCGGGTCCTGCACACCCAGCTCGCTCTCGAAGGCCGCCATCACTACCTTGTGTTGTGCAGAGCCCTGCGGGGTCACCTTGCTGCCACCGATAGACAGAGCACCCCGGGCAAACAGGGCCAGGGCCGCGGACGCGCCGATCAGAGTCAGGCCGACTCCAGCAGGCGACGACGACTGGGAGGCAGGCGCCGGTCCAGACGGACCAGCGGAATCCAGAACTGCATTAGGGTGACCATGGGATCCACGTTCGCCGAGCGGCGCCACCACGAAGGCGTTACAGAACTGGCAGGCCAACAAGCTGGCGGCGAAGGCGGCGATGAGGGCAGCGACACCAGAACGCGCCATCGCTTCTTTCTGGAGAAGAGATGTCTAAAAAAACTGGTAATGGAGCTAGACGCCCAACCTTGAAAAAACCTTGGCCAAAATGGCTGCGAAGGAAGAGGGCGGATGAGGCTTGATTGAAGTGTATCCTCAGAATCGAGAAATCGACGCGGGGACCACCAGATGTGTACAATGTGTTCATTGTGTGTGTGCGTCCCTTTCCTTGGACATCTGAGAGGCGCTGAGATTGCGCATGACTGCCTGGCCAAGATTCAACTGCTCAACTAGGCTGACCTAAACTATCGCGGGCTGTGCTGGACTGAGCTTGATTGGCCTGGGCCGCACTAGCTTGAGCCGGGCAAAGATCAACCGACCTTGGCGGAGCTAGAACAATTGGAAAGTGCTGAACCCAACTGGGCAAAGCCTGGTTGAGCTGAACTGGGCTGGAATGACCATGGTCAAGCCAGATCGGGACTGGCTGAGCTGGGCTGAACTCGGCTGAGGTGGACAGAGTTTCATTGTCTCGGCCTGAACTGGGCTGTGCTGGACTGAGCTGCACTGATACGACTGGACCACGCGGAGTTTGACTGGGCTGGGCTGGGAAGGACGGAGCTGGGTTGAGCTGAACATTCCTGGACTGAGCTGAAACGAGCTGGACTGAGCTTGACTGAGCTGGGCTAAGCTGCAGTGGGCTGGACTGGGCTGAGCTGAGCTGGGCAAAGCAGGACTTAGCTGGACTCAACTAGGCTGCGACGGGCTGACCTGGACTGAGCTTGGGCACGGCGCATGTGTTGCCATCACTACTCCCACCAAAAAACCGCACCGCGTGCAAAAGGGCGGAATGATACTCTCGCGTAAGCGCCGCGCAATGATATTATGGACATCCCGTTCCCGCCTGGGCGCAGGCCATGTTTCTCCCATCGTAACGTCGTCGGAAGCGGGGCCGCGAGCGAAGGAGCGAAAAAACACTCTCGCCCAAGCACCGCGCTGATTTCTCCTAATCGTTGTGTTCCCGCTGGGGCGTAGAACACCACTTTCCGGAGAAATCAGCGGGCGGGGTCGGGCGGGCGGGACATTGAAGCGGGCAGCTGACGGCGTTCACGCAATCGACCTGGCGGACCCTGACGGGCGACCTGGGCGGTGCACCCTAACAGGTGGGTCGGGCGGGTCCGCCGGGCCGGCAACTTTCTGGGACTTCGAGTATCTCTGCGACGTCGGGACCATCTGCGGGAAGGTGGTGCGAAGCGGGGTGGAGACGCCAAGGGCGGAGCGGCGCACGTGCATCAATTTGCTGTGGATATGATGATGGTTCTTCTCATTATCAAACGTTTTGGGGCAACCGACCGCCCTCCTGGGCGATTTGTTCCGCGTCTCGTTGCTGCGCACGTCTGCGAGGGGAAGCAGACAGCAGGAAGTTAGGCCAATGAGGCCGAGGCGGGGGCGACGTGGGTTCTTTTTTGTCAGGGGAAGACCTCGAGTACGATTAAGATCCTTTGTTCGGTGCAGGCGGAGCCCGCACAACGCAACGACGACGCGAGGAGAAGTCTCTGAATCACAAGCTCGAAGTCCTGGCAATTTCCCAAGCACGCAAGCAGGCGAAGCCGCTGGAGACGGTGCAGCCGAAGAGGCAGGCCATGAACGGGCGCGACCTCCCACTGGTGAAGCGCCTCGAGACGTTGGCAGCACAGGTGGATGGCACCGACACGACGGCCGCCATCGTCAAAAAGCTGAAGCAGGTGGTGGAGCAAATCGCCTCTTCGACCGCCACCACCGACACGAAGGAGGATGTCGAGGACAAGGACCCAGCCAAGCTCAAGCTGTGGCCCGCGCCGTGGGGCAATACCGCCATCGTGGCGGCCAAGCAGGTACAGTCCTACTACGCCGCGTACGAGGCGCCAGTCGTGGTTGTGGCTCAATCTACAGCTGAATATGAAGATGCCGAACGGGCTCGTCGCGCGATCGGCCACCGACAGAATGTTCTTACCGTCGCCATCGATGCCAAGGGGGACCAAGATGTTCTCATGGAAGGTGACAAGGACCAAGTCAAGGTCAAGGCCAAACTCATCAGCGTGAGCAAGACGGCTCCAAAGAAGGCTACGCTCCCAAAAGGCATGACCAACGACGCGCCGATCGAGGTTGAGAAATTAAAAACCAATTCTCTGTCGCATCACGATTTGGGAGTTTTGTGCTGATGGTGTCGATTCCTCCCAAGCCGTGGATGACCCACAACGAAGTGGCGGGAGTGATATCCACGACTGAGAAGCATGCCGAGAAGATGCTGAAGTACAAGCCGAGTCGAGTCAGGGGTGCTGGTTGCTGCAAGATACACAAGCTGGCGGTGTCTCTACTGCTAGATGGCTTGCTCAAAGTAGAGATAAAGCGGAGCATGTGTATCACCGGCGTGTGCTTGCTCTGCGAGGCGATGGTCGCTTGGTCTGCCGCCCGCAAGGCAATCCAAGCCTTGGAGTTGTTGGACGTACGCAGCTGCCTTTTGCGTTGTCGGGCGCGGTGCGGCGCTATCTCAAGCACAGTCCACCGCAGTGGGTAGCTGAAGCTGCAACGGGCACCTGGGCCAAAAGCCGTGGATTCTCCCTCATACGTGACACTCGCCGCCAAGGGGTCCGAACGTTGTATTTCTACGCTGATACCCCAGCTGGGGCTTATTCTGCATGTTACACGTTTGATTATGGCACGACCGCCCCCCGTGCTTTCGGCAAGAACGGAGGGAAGGACAAGCCAGACACCAGGGAAGGACCAGTAAGCACGCGGGGAGCAACGAAACCCACATCACAGTTCGACCAGTGCGTGGACTAGGCTACGGAAAGCAATGATGGCGCAGCTGCTGCCTCGGATCGAGGCAAAGCACCTGCCACAGGCAAGGAGCCCAACCAGCTGCCCGTGGAAAAGGACCAGAAGGAAAAGTCATCGATCATGCACATGACCCACCTTTCTTGGCGCACACGCAGGTACGCGAGCGCGCGGGCGACGGGGGGCTGCTTCTTCATCGCAGCTGGCAGAGGCTGCTTACTTAGGCTCGGCCGTCGCGGGGCCCTTGCAAGGGTTGGACTTGTGCTCGGCCTTGGCCTTGGCCTGGGCCATCGCCACGTCGTTGTCATTGGCCTCCTTGGGCTCACCGATAAACTCGATGCCTCGAGCGACCACGGCGTTGAGGTTCGCTGGTATTTGGCGGCCCTCGCCTCGAATCTCGCGCAGGGCACGCTCGATCCAGCGACTCGTCCACAGGCCGCAGCTCCAACCGTCTGCTCGTTACCGTTTGTTACTCGGTGCTGGAATTCTCGCCGGGGCCAATGGCGCCGAGCTCGCGGGGGGTCCTCGCGGCGGCCCTGGGCGGCCACGCGCGAACCCTACCCGCGATTTCTGAGGAAGAGGGCGGGGTACACTTCGCTCGGCAGCTCCCGAGCAAAGTGAACCCTACCTTCCCCCCTCAGAAATCGCGCGGCGTAGGCGCTAGTTCGCATGTGGCCCTTCTGGGCCTGCTTGGCGCTCTCAGACAACTACTCGAGGGCGTCGCGGCGCTCCACCGCGACGCCGCCCCCGTCGATCCTCGAGACCTGGCGGGAATTGCCACGAGTGCCCCCTGCCCAGGGCGCCTCAGGACTCGCCCCAAACCCGAGCGAAACGCTGGGGGCACCCTGGCGGGGGGGCCATCGTAGAAACCGCCGACCTTAAGGCACGCGCAGCGCTCGGCCCAGCGCTTCTGCTCCTCGGGCTCCTGGGCGGCGGGCGCGCCCTCACCCTGGCCCTCTCGAGCCCGGGCGACGGCCACCGTGGGCTCGACCGCCAGAACGGTGTCGGGGACGCCCACGCGCTCCTCGATCTCGCCCAGCAGCGCGTGCAGTGTGCCCAGCTCGAGGGCGTCACCCTTGACGATCTCCTCGCAGCTCATGATCGCGTACTCCTTGGCGAGCGCGGCGTGGCGAGACTGTCGGGTCTGGCGCCAGTCGAGCTTCTGCGGCCTGGGGAACTTGTAGCCCTGCTCGATCGTGACCGGTGGCGCTCGGGATTTGCTGGCGCTCGTTAGCTTCCGCCTGCTTCCGCTTCGCGTTGCCTCCGCCTGATTCCGCCTTCGTTTTTTTCCTCTTCGCCCACTTCCGCTTGCTTCCGCCGCCCCAGGCAGAAGCAGGCGGAAGCTAACGAGTGCCCGTGACCCCCCCAGCCCCGCTGCTCTCGATCTGCAAGATCGCCGCGGTCTCCACCTCGAGGATGCGCAGGCGGCACTCGTCCTCGGTGCCCAGGACTCGCCAGACGTCCTGCACTCTGCCGAGCCTGCCCTCGCGGACGCCCTCCTCGGTGACGCGCGCCACCTTGCCGTGCCAGGGGGGCCCCTCGCAAGCCTCGAGGCCATCTTTGCGATTGGCCCTGTCCTGCTTATTGGTGTTCTTCTCCGCTTGCTTCTTCTGCTTGAACTTCCTGGAGAAGCTCGCGCGCGCCTTCGGCGGCCTGCCCGTGAGCTTCGCCTCGGCCACGCCTCTGCTGTGGTGCTCGAGCGAGGTCCCGCCGCCAGCCCCGGCTTTCTCGCGCCGCCACTTGCGAGCGTGCTTGCCCGGAAACTGGCCCGCGAATTTGGACGCCCACATGTTCTTGCGTTTAGCTGTCCGTCTCAGCTTGATCCTGTTGTCGAGGGCGCGCGGGAACTTGATATCCTTGATCCACTCCTCTGGCGGTTTGAACACGTCCTTCTGCTCGTCGGCGAGCTCGAGATCCAGCTCTCGGAGCTCCAGGAGGCAGGGGCTCTCGCCCTGCTCGTAGCCCGTCGGCAAGTCGTCGCTGTAAGCAGCTGCCGTCGCGGACGCTCCACTCGGGCGCGGGCGGCGCGCCCTCGGGCCAGCTCTGGGCGCCCTCGAGGCGCTCTTCCGACAGGCTGTCCTCGATGCCGCGGCCGTCCTCGATGGAGTAGCTCCACGGCCCCATGCCCGCGACGACGTTGAGCTCGCCTTGCTCTGTCGGCTGGACCGCGAGCAGGACCGCGAGCATGTGGTTGGCTTGCAGCCCCTGGAGCGGCACCGCGCCCTTGTTCTGCTCGCGGAAGCGGGCGTAGGGCTCGGAGACGCAGTAGAGGCACTCTTAGGGCCCCCATTGCGTCGGGGACTTGCACTCCTTCTGGGTCTCGGCCTTGGCCTTCTGGACCCAGTCTTGCTCCATGGCCCACTGCATATCGGCCTTGACCTCTCGGACATTGGCCTTGAGATGGCTGCGCTCGCGGGCGTCGGGCTCTTGCAAGAAGCTCGCGACGTCGGGGGCCGCGGGCGCGTGGATGACGTTCTTGAGCCACGCTCGCAGCGCCACTGCCTCGGTCCACTGGCTCGAGAGGCAGTCTGCGAACACGAGGCTCTGGCCGCGCTCCTGCTCGATGAAGCCGGTGGCCCAGCTTACCACCAACTCGTCCATCCAGGCTCTCGGCTGCCCCCACGCGTCGATGGCCTCGAAGACCCTCGCGCGGTCCGCCTCGGAGAACTCGAGCAGAGCGGTGCGCCAGCCCTTGAGCAATGCCCCCAGGGGCTCGCCTGCTCGGAAACGCTCCGTCTCGCCATCGCCCCGAACGTGGGCGGCGTCGCGCCGACAGGTGCCCTCCCCCAGGCTCACGTCGCTGACCCGGCAGTTGCGCGGGGGACACGGGGCACGCTGCGCTTCTTGGCGGACTTCGACCCCCTGCTCGGGTCGAACCAGTTCTCGACCGCGGAGATGCTGATGAAGGTGATCCTGCACTTGTCTCCCGCGCTCGAGTAGGCCTGCCCCACCTGCCCCTTGTGGTCGGGGTGCTCTGCCAAGGGCGCGGCCTTCTCCGTCTCGAAGGCTGCCTTGTCCTGCTCGCTGCACGTCTCGCGGAACTTCTCACGGAGGTTATGGGCGCGTTTCTTGGCGCCCGCGGCGGAGATTTTTTGGGCGCCCGACATGGGCGCGGAAAGAATGGGCACAATGCCCCACAACAAATGTTGTCCCGAACCAACAGCGGCCGCTGTTGGGCAGGCGGCCATCTGTCTCGAATAAACACGGGCCGCGGCGACACCGACAGCAAATCCTGTTCAAAATGAACAAGAACTGCTGTTGGGCACTGCACCCTTTCCTCCCGTACCCATTTCGCTCGCGCCGAGACCTCGCTCTCGCGGGGACACACCTGCTCCTCGACCCGGAGCCTGAGCCAGGGCGCGGCGGCGTCGACAACGACCGCGCTCGCGCCGGTCCCGCGGCGGGCGAACGTCTCGGCGCCCCCGACGAAGAGGCCAAAGTCCTCGGGGCCGCCCCTCGCCACCAGGTGCACGAACCTCGCGGTAGTAGTAGTAAGAATGTAGTAGTAGTAGTAGTAGTAGTAGTAGTAGTAGTAGTAGTAGTAGTAGTAGTAGTAGTAGTAGTAGTAGTAGTAGTAGTAGTAGTAGTAGTAGTCGTAGTAAGTGTAGCAGCAGGAGCAGCAGCAGTAGTAGTGGTAGTAGT